TTTTTTCTTTTTTGTTTTTTTTGCTCCTGGCTTCATGACTCCAACAACTTCTGCATATTCAGTAGGTTGGCCTGATTGAGTCTGGCTTTCATTCCTGTCTTGACTGCCAGAAACCAACCGCGAAGGATCCATGTAGTTTAAGCCATTAATCTGTAGATTCAAAATACGTCAGTCATATAAAAGTATAGTTCGTGTTGATGGCACATTGGGTGTTTATAGTGTCTAAAGCTACACAGGTAAAGTCTTATTAACAAGATGTGTTCGCAACAGGCTTGTAGCGAGCTTGTCAACAAGTTTTAGAAACGCTGTTATTTTATCAAGTTGCTACAAGGTTGGCACTCACAACTTGTTGACAAATTGTTGAATTGCTGGACGATAACAAGTTGATGGAGCAAATTGTAACAAGTCTGTTGAGCTCAATAGCCTTGTAGCAAGTTGTCAACAAGCCGTTGACAACTTGTCAACAAGCTGGGAACAAGCAGTGCGAACACATCCTGTTGACAAGTTGTTGAAACAGCATTGTTACAAGTCTGCTGCAGGTTTGTTACAACTTGTGCGTTTTTACGTGTGTACACGCGTAAAAATCTCACAGCTTGTCAACAAGATGTGTTCGCACTGCTTGTTCCCAGTTGTTGACGAGTCTGGAACAAGTTGTTATTATCTTGAAACAAGGTTGATGAGATCAATGGATGCGCAACAAGTTGTTCCAACAAGTCTGATATCGTCTGCACGAAACAAGTTATTAGAGACCTTACGATTTCAGGACAGGCAACGCGACGGCGACGGCCAAAACAAACTCCTTCAAATAAATGGTATTAAAGATAGTTCGTGGAATATTATCAATCGTATGAATTTAATACAGTTTTAGAAGTTGAAGACACGGGTTTTATGGTTGAGAAGAGTTCTGCTGAACCCAGTTTGAAGTTGCACTTGTTGCGGCTTGGAATGCAGCCGTTGTATCAAGACGTGAAAATCTGTGATTTAGCGTTGTAAACAGAGCGAGGACAATGTCTAAATTATTCACATATTGTAATTACTCAATTCTTTTGACTGATCTGTTGTATTGGTAGCCGTTGCCGTCGCGTTGCCGTCCTAAAATCGTAAGGTCTCTATTAATAAGTTGATTACAACATGCTCGTAGAAACTTGTTACGAACAGCCTATATTAATCTTGTTGGAACAACTTGTAGCAAGTCTGTTACCGTCAAATCTGTTACGGTCTTAATTGTTCCAGATTGTCACAACAACTGGGAATAAGCAGCGCAAACACGTTCTGGTATTTTTCGTGTGTAGCTGAGCTCCTGTGGTAACTCCACTGGAATCATCGAATAAAGCAACTTACTGGACCTTTAGCGAAATCAATTTCAAACGTATTATTAAAGTGAATTTAATAGCCTAGCTTAGTTTAGTGTAGATTACATAATTTCCGATGCTATTGTATCACTTTTTGAGCATTCATCTCTTTCAAATTAATAAACCTTTTTACCTTTTTAGTACTTTTATTTTTATCCGGGAGAGCATAGAGGTCTCCGTTAACAGCAATGCGTTCGATATCAGCATTATTTTCCTCTGGCGTTGAATAAGCAGAATCTGCAGTAGCGACATTGATCTCTTTCTTTTTGATATCAGGAGTTTCATACCCAGGCTCTGGATAAGAATTGACGCGACTGATTTCTCTTCTATTCACATCAGGGGTTGCATACCCAGGTTCTGCTTGAGAACTATCTTCGTTGCCTTGTCTTTTTTTCATATTGACTGGTTCGTATCCAGGTGGGTTATAATTTGCGCTTTTGTCTTCTTTTCTTTTGATATCTGGAGTTGCATACATTGGGTTAGCTTCCACTATCACGCGCTGGCTATTTGGCGTTGAATAACCAAGGTTTGCTTGAGCGCCAAAGGTGTCGTTTGTGTCCCTGGCTTGTCCATCTTCATAAGCATCTGGCCCTCGTAGATTACTGTCCGTGTGTCTGAACTGCTTCAGGCGCGCAGAACCTAAACAAGACGCATTGTTATTTTAAAAAAGCATCATGTGTTGACGCGCATGTATCGCGTATGGTATTCATTAAGGTAGTCCACATTTAAGAACATGTACTACTTCTATATGATCTAACCATGTTTTACTCAGCAGTCAGTTCTGTACATCATCAGATCACTTCAAGGTATCCCACATTCAAGAACATGTACTCATGACTACCTTTGCATGATCTAACCATGCTTTAACTCAGCAGTGAGTTCTGTACAACATCAGATCACTTTAAGGTAGCTTACATTCAAGAACATGTACTACCTCTGCATAATCTAACCATGCTCAACTCAGCAGTGTGTTCTGTACAACATCAGATCACTTCAAGGTAGTCCACAGTGAAGACTATTAAAGTGATCTGATATTGTACAGAACTCACTACAGAGTTAAGCAGGGTTAGATTATACAGAGGTAAGGTTGTACATGTTCTTGAATGTGAGCTACCTTAAAGTGATCTGATGTTGTACAGCGGAACTCACTGCCTAGTTAATACATGTACCCATTTAAAGTGATCCGATATTGTACAAACTCACTGACATGCTGAGTTAATTGAAACAACTACATAATTTGTGCATACCGTTTTTTTTGCTGGAACGTTCGTCACTTGAATTTCTTTGGCTGTTCCAAAAATATCAAGAAAAAAACAACTGCATGAAATCTCACATTTTTTATTGATAAGATTCTCATTGATAACTATGTAAAGCTTTTTATTGTTCCTCTCAAAACGAAACCTCAAAACTGTAATTTCTTTACGTAAATGTAAGAGTTTCCGTGTGGGATAATTTAATTTTGTTGATATTAGGGCCTATGTCACGCATTGCATGATACCAAATCCAATAAACTAACACCAAAGTTGTTCATTAATGTCCTTAAAATGCTTACCTATATCTCTTCTTGCGTTTACACAAGCACCAAACAACGACAACCAAGACTATCAGCAGTACTACAGGTACCACAACGGCTATAATAATTATTGTTCCACTGGAATCATCATCACTGCTCGATACTTCACCCGGAGAACTGGAACGAGCTGAAGTGGTGGGTGACATTGTCATCATGGTACCAGTTGAGTTCAATGCTGATGTCGTTGGTGCCTTACTAGTTACTACAGGATTTGACACGGTGGGATTTGTTCCTAGGAAGAAGAATTTACCATGCATTGCTCAGTTTTAATAAGTTATATCATCAAAATATTGGCCATTATATGCATAGTTTTGTGCACGGAAAGCTGGAAACCGAATTAAAGAGTTACTTTTGTTTACATAACAGAACCTAATATCCGTGATAAATTAATGCTAGAGTGATTATCAAGAGTTGTCTATTAAGATTTAAGCAAATGAAGTTCATCGAAATCCTTGCGACAAGGATAAATTTGGGCCACAAGTTTAGTTTTAAGAATAGCAAAATATAGGCAATATACTAAATATAGGGTTTGGTTTGTGGGGTTTAGATGGTGCAGTCGTCAGAGAAAGTCGTGGGTTTTCTCCGGGCGCCCCAGTTTCCTCCCACAGGGAAAGTTGACAGGGTGGGTTAGGATAAACACAGTTAAGAAAGTAATATCACAATTGTTGTAAATATAAAATAGTCTAAGCTATAAGTATGTAATTAGGTAAGCGTATAATACTTGATGTAAATCGCATTTGGTCATAATAATCTACATGTGAATTTGCGCTATAGAAATGTTAATCGTAAAACTGAGTCAAGTCCAAAACGGCCACAAGATTTTAATCAATGTATTGAATCTCCTTGTTTATTGTATTGGTAATATTTTCAGTTGATTTTAAACTTAAATTAATTCATTTCAGTGTTACTATTTTCTCAATACATTATATTGGGGACCCGGAGAGCTAGACAATAAAACCCTTCAATGGACATAATTAAATTCGCGCTATATATTACGCGACACTAGTTAACTTCATTACGCATGCAGGCTGAATAAAGTTTGGATGTGTCTTGAAGTTGCATTTTTGTAAAAATTACCTGGTGACCATGTTCCAAGAACCTTGGCTCGCAGGCATTTTGTTTGGTAAGCCTTTAACTCTGGGTTGGTACTAGGAGGCACCATGCATCCGAAGGTGAACGTAATTATCGTGCCTTGCAAATTTGGAACGGATTTTCTCCACTAGGAAAGAAAAAGGAAGCTAAATTTAAACATATAGTTAAAGAGAAAAACAAATAAGTTGATTTACGTACTTTAAAATACAAATTGTTGTTCGAGACGTTCAAATCAACGTAAGATTCATTCAACCACTGTAATTCAATTTCTGTAGCGTTGTCTGGAAACTTTGCCTGGGCTTTTGTCAAAGAACAACTGAATATCTGCTGGGTGTGTAAAAATGTCGTGGCTGGATCTTTGTGGCTGTGTGGTAGGACTTGAAAAGGTCTGAATACACAGCTACTGATCTCTATATATGTATATCAGTTTGAACAAAACAAAAACAAAATTAGTAGGTGGAGGGTATGCTAATCATCTTTATATCCAACTGAGCTGAGCAGTATTACGAAGAACGTAACGTAGCTCAACCTGATCGAATCCAAGACATTAAGGAGCTTAAATTTAGCGTAAAAAAGTACGGCAAGCGGCCAGTCCGAACTTTCTTGGCATCATTTTCGTTCCGCGATATCTGCGTCATATGACACAGGAATAGTTATTAATTAAGCATTCTACTTATAAAACAACAAGCCGATTTACTTTTTGTTGCTTTATAGCGTAAAATGTTTCTTTGACCGACGTTTGTCGTTGAACCTAAGCTTTCTATTTTTAGGGTACAGTTTGCGATTTATCCCTACCAAACCTGTCAACATTCCCTGAGGGAAGCGAAATTTACTATATATAGGACTTAATTTTAATGTCAAATATGATGCACAAAATAATAATAGCTGATATACCCCCTGTATACAATATATTCCCACATATATAAATATGTCGTTATTTTTAGGGCCAGGATTTCTGAAATGGAATGAACCTTCATTACCTACATAAAACAAAACACTTACCAATGACATTAAAACGGAAAATATCATTGTCAATACAACCATACGAGTTACCATACACTGTTTTTCTCTCCTTGACTTCGAGGACAGGATTTCGATAGCTTGGTCTATCAGGCTTACACAAACACAAGCCATCAGACTGACATGTTGCTGAACTTGTACAAACACTTGTATCATTCGTACAACCATCATTCCCAACACGGAAGCTGTCTGTAACATTTCGATTCAACAAAACCACTTCACAACCAGTCATAACCATTTTGTAAGACAAACACATAACCCACACTGACACCACTTTGTATTTTAAAGACATATTTATCAAATACTAGCGACCACTTGGGGAAGAAACACGAATTATTACGGTATTCTTTACAAATTACTGTAGATTATGGCAGACATTTTGTATGTAGTAAAATATTTCCTATCTTATTTGCATTTATAAACACTTTTTCTTTAATTAAAGTAAAACAGCATGATATTAGATTCTGTGACCACCAGACCATTTTCATGACAAAGAGATCAGTTTCAATTCAAACATATTAATGTTGGGGGCAAAGTAACTATTTTTATTTCTCGACGAAAGCTAAGGTCCCCGCTGTAACCATTGAAGTGTTTTTAACATTTTCAGGTAGTTGAGACACAAACCCACGCTACTTTATCTACCTACATTTGTCCCCAGGTTTGAGATATTTTTGACAAGTACTTGTGACACAAACCATGGCAGCCCATATTATCGTATGCAAGCCGCCCATATTGTAAGCAGCCCATAGTGTAGAGAATAAAAAGCAAGTATTTCAGTTTTAAATTCTCTTTTATCGTTGTTTGAGCCATTAGCATTGGGTTCGGCGCATAAGAAGTTTGGCGTTTAACCTAGGTCATCAAAAGTGCCAAATGATGTTGATACTGGACGGTTTCAACAGTTCTCGACTGCAGTCCAGTAAGAATCGTCAATTATTGCTACTTACCCCAAATGGCCCTACTAGTAACGGTCATCTCTTATTGATTGAGAATTACTACAGGAGTAAACCTAAACTAAACTATTCTCTGCAGATATTCAGTACGGGCCTCTCATATAGTCATATTGTGTACAGGGGGAAGCCTAAACTAAAAACTAGCGAAGCTATTTTCCTTTCTGTGATGTTGTCAGACTTTGATAGTTATGTTCATCGCTCTGATCTTGTAAAGGATTTCTTCTCAGAGGTTCATAGTTCGAAGGCTCTTCATATTTATGATCTGTAAAAATAAAGACAAATATGAAAACTTTATATGCTTTCCCCCACTTCAGTCCCTCTATATAAGTGTCCTCCTTCCAGATAAAAAAATATGAGAGACAACTACATAATGCAGTAAAAGACACATGTACTGACCACTGTGCCCAAATTAAATTCTTCCCCAAAGTATACCTGACCAAGACTCGTCATAAATGCCACCATTGTGTATGCCACTGTCTATTACTACTTCTTCGTATGCGCTGATTTCATTTCCCGAGATTGTTCGTGTCTGTACATTAGTGTTTTTCAAATCTAAAATGTATCAAGAACTTTCTTAATAGTTTGTACCCGACATTTGCCATCTCAGGATTTTTGTGTTAGCACTTGCGTTGTGTAACCAAAACTGCTACCTAAAACTTGAAAATTTAGTGGGGAACGATGTGTTTTGTGGGAAGCTGCTGGTTGCCCTAGCACAGTTTTCTATATACCAGAGATTTTCTCTGGCCGTCCTAATATTCTGGATGTAGTATGAATTAATGATAGTAATTAGTCAAACAAACGTCTAACTATCATCAAGTGAAAGTTGTATTTTATATGATCACAGCTGTTGTGGAAAATATGCTCTATTCGTCTATGATGAATAAATATTATGTGTAATTAGGGTATGAAGTGCTACCAGACTCAGTTTATATAATGTTAGTCACATCTTGAAACGTTTTAAAGACGATTATAACCCCTATTCACATCGCTGTCTTAAGGGGACACTACTCAACTTGCAGGGAAGTATTGGGATTATTATTTCAAGGGTATTAGCAAAGTTCTGTTGATTAATATTCGTTTTACAAACGACAACCTGCAGCCTTTGGTAACTATTTTAACATTTTACTAGTTGGACCTAAAATTACTTTCATCACATTTTGTACATTTCTCTTTTTTCACAATTTTCAATCACGTTACCTTCCTTTTGCAAATTTTTGCCTTGATTTCTGAAAAGAAGGAAAATGTTAACACCTACATTATTACCGAACTTTTTGAATTATATATAGTATATGTTACAGTACACTATTGGTACAACAGTACATGACAAGAAAGCAAGGTTGAGATGGTATGGACATGTAATAAAAAAATATGAAGGAGAGCTGATCAGAGACATTATGGAATGAAGAGGTCAGAAGATGTGGGGTGGTAGACATTACAGAGAAGGACAGGGAAGCAAGGTTGAGATGATATGGACATGTAATAAGAAGAGATGAAGGAGAGCTGGTCAGAGACATTATGAAATTAAGAGGTCAGAAGAAGATGTGGGGTGGTAGACATTGTAGGGAAAGTGAGGTAAACAAGGTTGAGATGGTATGGGCACGTAATAAGAAGAGATGAAGAAGTGCTGGTCAGAGACATTATGGAATGAAGAGATCAGAAGAAGATGTGGTGTGGTAGACATTGTAGAGAAGGTGACGGAAGCAAGGTTGAGATGGTATGGACACGTAATAAGAAGAGATGAAGAAGTGCTGGTTAGAGATATTAGATACATAGATAGATCGATAAAAAATTCTATTTTAACACGCTAACTACGTCAAATGTGGCTGATTTCCACGAAGGATGTCTGTTAACACACGTTTATCAAAGTTGATTGTGCATTTTTAACTTTATGTTTAAAATTGACAGAAAAGACAAATGGCCGAAACGAAAACAAAGATAAAAGATGACGAGAAAGAAGATAAAATGGATGGACTGGGTACAAGAAAGTGGACACTAAAACCCATTTACTAACCTCTGCATTTTCTTCCTCTGAAATCCTACAATAATTCCAAGAAGAGCATTGAAAACAAAAGAGATGGAGAATAAAGCAATAAATACTTTGTTCGAGCAAGTACACTCCTTATCTGAACTGATGCTGGCGGTTGATTCTAAAACATTAAACAATACAGTTAAACTTTCGAGCCAATTCTACTGAAGATATACGATTGTCTGATAGTATTTTATTCAAACCAAGAACTTATAGACGGAAACGAAGAATCCAAAAATTTTTTGGAACTCAAAAGTGTCTAACAATACATGAAATTTTGAAAGAAAACTTAAAGGAAACCATCAAGGATTTTCTATAACTGATACAAAATCCTGATGATATTAATAACATTTACGTTCGTTCCATTGCCAGATATCATGTTTTCGAGACGAATCACAAGCTATATATATAACACGGTCTCTCATAATGTATCTAACGTGCTTAACCACTTAGGCGGTAACCTATGATCTACTGCGAAAAAAAGTAGGAGTGAAAATAACAAAACTACATATTACAATGATATAAAAGCAAAGAAGTTATTTATAAACATACTTGGTTCTGCTGTTACTTGAGCTAATGTGGTAGGTGACATTGTCACGGTGTCACTTAGATTCAATACTGATGTCGTTGGTTCATAAGGTACCAAACTAGAAGTTAAGTCGGTGGGATTTGCTTCTAGGAAGAATAATTTACCACGCATTGTTCAGTTTTAAATTGTATCATAAAAGAATTGGCCATTATATATATAGTTCAATTCATAGAAACTTAAGCTGGAAATCAAAGACTTATTTTTGTTTAACACTAGAGAATAATATCACTGATAAATGTTAAAGCGATGAGTTGTCTATAAGGCAAAATAGGTTCATCAAAATGCTTACGACGAGCATTAATTTGGGCTACGATCAGGCCCGGAGCTACGGGGGGGTGTGGGGGGGTGTGACACCCCCCAGTAATTGTATTTAGTCGGCAGGACTGCTATTCAGTCGGTAGGACTGCTATTCAGTCGGTAGAACTGCTACTTGGGTTAAATATTTTGGCGCAAAGGGCAAGAACGTGGTGGTAATTTTAGAAAAATTTTGAGGAAAAATGTAAAAATTTTGGAAAAATGTTAAAAAATGTTGAAAATTTGCTATGTGCGAAAAATTTTTGAATGTTCCGGAAAAATTTTGTACGTCCGGAAAAATTTTTTTGGAC